AGCCAGGCTACAGATGTTAAAGAGATGTCCACCCCTCAGGATAAAGAGGAATTGGCAATATTGCCTCGGATTTTTCAACTTCCTGTCATCATATATTCCTAACTTTGGAGAAAAGACATTCCTGCTGAGAGAGTTGCTCAATACAATGTCCCCTATGTAGGACAAGACAATCACCAATGTGTCTTTGCTTTCCTCAAGCGACCTCTATTGACAAAATTTTGCATATTGCAAAACTGCAACCACAGAAAAGACATGAACCTGGAAGTAGAAGCATTGCAAAAGTCTCAGGTGCCTACATTTTACAAGTCAAAAAAAACCTACTGTGTTTTCTCAAAGGCTCTATCATCTGCACAAGTTAGCTGTTTCACTGCAGAGTGTGATACTTAGCTCTGGTATTGACAACATGCAATTACACACCTACTTATTCAGCAAGAAATTCACAGTTGACTTGGACCATAAGGTCCTAGAAATGATCTGCCATAAACTACTAACAAATGCATTGCCAGGATTACAGTGTTAACAGGGAAGGATATGACTTTAAAATCAGATTCAAGCCAGATACCAGGATGATTGTATCTAATGGACAGACCAGAATAGCCCTCCTGCTCTAGATGTGGATCTCTAGACTGTGAAATTGAAGATGTTCTCAAGACAGATCCGATAAATATTGGTCAGAGTCAGTATGAACACTTAAAATCAGCAACTGCTAAAGGTTAGCAACATCAATAGTTGCAAAAGACTATTATGCCTGATGGCAACAAGGAAGTTCCAGTGAACTTGTACACATTTTGGCTGTACAGCGATGAACTCGGTGTATCACAGCAACTCATTTGCAAGGGCAAACATTCCTAGTACCAAAAAGACTACACCAAGATATCTTGTCCACGTTACATCAACGACACAAGACTAACTTGTAAATCCAACGACTTGTCAGGGATGAGTTTGGATATCTGGTGACACGTGAATGACTGTGGGGCAGCAGAGGTAACCTCTACATTCATACGGTTTTCCCTCAATTGTTTGGACAAAAGAAGCAATGAACTTACTCATGGTGAATGTAGAAAATTACATCCTTGTAAAAGATTACTTCTCCAAATTTCCCATTGCTTGATAGTTTAGCAACATATTTGCAACCATCACTGAAACAACAATCGCTACTTTCAGCTTATTCTGTGTACCAGAGTGAATAGTATCTGTCAATGGATCACAGTTCACAAGACAAATGTGACCCATTTAATCATTCCGCTACACACATCTAGAAAAACTACGGCTATGTACCATCAAATCCAAGCTCATCAAATGTTGAGCGACAACAATTTTACATTACATTGCTATATTTTCATGCAATACCAATGGAGAAGGAACTACCATCCCCAGCAGAATTTATGTTCAGAAGGCAAGTGGAAACAATTCTGCCGAGAAAGCAATTGCAAATTATTTCAACGCACAAGATATTCCTCTTCAATGCCAAAGGAGAACAAAAGACACATGTGACCTTTGAACAGGTACGGAACTACCACAACTACGCACTGGGCAGACAGCACAAGTCACAAAGATTGGGACACCAGTGAAGGATTCAAAGTCGGGCAATCAGCCCAGGTCATGTGAGATAGTTGCCAATCACGGAGCTACATTGCCAAGGAAGAGAAGACAGCTCAGGCCAATGTATGTGACACCAATTATGGGCGATGAGAGTGAGGAAGAAAGCTCCGAAGCTGATTGTGTGATGAAAGTAAGTGACAGCAACCAGCAACAAAAGAACTAAATTGTTAGCCAAGTGCCGCTGAGAATAAGACACATCTCTCCAGCAGAATGTAAAATCACCAGATCAGGATGAGTTGTCAAACGCCCAACATGTTATATGAACATTTAAATTGTTAGTCCTGTTAACTTAGTTTTTACATGCCTGTATAATTGTTGAATTGACAGTGCAAGCTTAGGTACAATGATGTATACCTGTTTGGGATTTCTTTGCATAAAGGGGATGTTACAGCAGAAGGGCCTTGGCCTTGCACAATAACCCTGATAAAGCGCTTGCTTGGCTTAGAAGGCTTGGCTTTGCACTGCAGCAGCTAGGGATGGGCAATGAGATGCTGGCTATAATGGCTAACAGCCAGACAAGAACAAGGCTGACAGGCAATAGTGAGACAAGGAATATTGAATCTTGAGCAAAGACGACATTGTTTGAGCTCTACTTCTCTCTCTCCTGTTCTCGTGGAGTGCAACTCATCAACCCTGGCAATGAATTGATGGACAGATTGTTGTAATACCTTGGAAAACCACTGAAAAGGTATAATGGCAGAATCATAGAATCTCTGCAGTGTGGAAGCAGGCCATTTGGTCCATCAAATCCACAGCAACCCTCCAAAGAGCATCCCACTCAGACCCACGCCATCCCTGTAACCCCACATTTCCCATGGCTAACCCACCCAGCCTGTACATCCCTAGACACTATGGGCAATTTACCATGGCCAGTCCACCTAACCTGCACATCTTTGGACTGTGGGAGGAAACCCACACAGACATGAGGAGAACGTGCAAACCCCACACAGAAAGTCGCCGCAGTGTGAAATCGAACCTGGGTCCCTGGTGCTGTGAGGCAGCAGTGCTAACCACCGAGTCACCCTGCTGCCCAAAATCTGAGGCTTATTGACAGCAGATTGAACTTGCATGAGAGCATTCTGAGCTCTTGTGATCGAGATGTCTGCTGGCTTTAAATGGTGCAGGCCTGAAGATATGCTCACCTGTCACCATTTTGCAATCCCTGTCTAGGCATGTAACCATTCAGCACTACGTCCTATGCTCAATGCACAGCTCAATCTCGAACGAACAGGTCGCCCAAAGTGTATGCACTCTGAGCATTTGAAACAATGAACATGGCATCAAGTACCATAATCCTGCCTCCAGGTCGTATTGAATTTTGTGACCTTTACCTCGATTCTATGGACTGTTCAATTTTATTCAATGCAGCAATTTATATACCATCTTGATTGAGGCTTTTAAAGAAATAGAACAAGATGAGCTACAAACACTGAGGAAAAAGTCAGAACAGGGAAGTTAAACTGTGTATCCAACAAGTGTTAAACGTTATCTCTGATTTTCTCTTCACAGATGCTGCCAGACCTGCTGAGTTTTTCTAACAACTTCTGTTTTTGTTCCTGATTCACAGCGTCTGCAGTTCTTTTCGTTTTTAATTTGTTAATCCAGAGACCCAGGTAATGTTCTGGGGACCCGGGTATGAATCTTATCACAGCATTTGATAAAGATCTGGAATTAGGAGTCTGATGATAGCCATGAATCCAATGCCAATTTTACACAATGAAATGTTTTGTGGGTAAAGTATCTTGCATTCAACTGTGCACAGCACCTTTGATGTCTTCATATAGCTAATTTTGAATGCCTTGATGCTGCTATCCCTTTAAGGTGCTGTCTCCTAATGTAGCTGCCAGCTGTATTCAACATGCACCCTGTGTGGGCAATGCCTGCCTACTGGAGTCATGATGTGGAGGTGCCAATTTTGGACTGCGGAGGACAAGGTCAGGAATCATACAATATCGGGTTATAGTCCAACAAGCTTGTGCTTTCAAATAAACCTGTTGGACTGTAACCTGGTGTCGTTGGCTTCTGACCTTGTCCCGTCTTGGAGTGGCATGGCACTATGAACTGGCATCCCCATTTCAGAGTAGCCTTGAGCATGTAATGCAGTTGCAGCATGGCGATGGAAACCTGGACTTACCGGGGCATCAGGTTCCCAATTGCATTTTGAAAATCTGACCCATTGTCCCTGCAGTCTGACAAACTTCATATCACTTTTCTTTGCAGTTTTTATCTTTTTCAAATAGCAGACAAAAAAAAATAGAGTGGGAGTTCAGCATTTAAAATTCTAATTGCAGTAGCTAAAAATACTTCCAGTCCAAACTGTTCACAAACAACTTCAAAATGCAAACCAACAAAACCAACACTCAAAATATCACCAACAGAATATCTAACACAGTTAGAAAGTAAACTGCCCAATTTGGAGCCTCTCTCAAAATGGCCCTTTTTAAATGCTGGCTTCCTTTTAAACCCAGAAGAACATGGAATGTCAATGAGCTGTGAATGTTTGTTTAGTTTCAAGGTTCACATGGGAAATTAAACATGTGGAAAGGTACTTTAAAATTTTTCGCATAAATGCTAGGCATGGAGAAACATTCTGCTAATTGTGGTACTTGCACATGAATTACAGGAGTTGTTAACCAGCTCTTCCTGTCAATTTGAATCACTTTCCTCTCTGCTTTACTTTACCAAGGCTCTTAAACGTGTCCCCTTTCTGCAAGATTTCTGATGAAAACACCTTCATCAAAAATGTTGATCTGTATTTTTCAATTCCCAATGCAGGCAAAATGTTTTGAATTTCTTGTAAACTCTGAAGTAATCCGAAGCCATAGATGATACACAGAAGGCTGTAATGAGGATGGGTTGCACCATACTGCATGGATTCATGCTGGGATGAAATTGGGTTTTTAAAGAGGAGTAAGAATGTGGTACCTGTGGAGCATACACCTCACCTTTTTAGAGTCAATTACATGGGATACTTAGGGGAGGCAATGGCCTAGTGGTATCATCAGTAGACTATTTACCCAGAGACCCAGGTAATGTTCTGGGGGCCCAGCTTCGAATCTTGTCATGGTAGAATTTGAATTCAATAAAAATCAGGGGATTAGGAGTCTAACGACGACCATGAAACCATTTCCGATTGTCACGTTAAACCTATCTGTTTCACTAATGCCCTTTAGGAAAGGAAATCTCCTGTCTTTACCTGGTCTGACCTCCATGTAAGTCCAGACCCACAGCAAGGTGGTTGACTCTTAACCACCCTCTGGGTAATTATGGATAGGTAATAAGTCTGGGCCTGGCCAGAAACATCCATGGCCCAAGAATGAATGGAAAAAAATACATTGAATAAAATCTGAATTTTGATGCTTGTGATTGCATTCCTATGTCACCATTCAGTGCCTTACCCAGCAATTCCATGGCATCGTCCTCATCCTCAATGTCTTCATCTGCCACAGATGGCGCTGTGCTGTGCACAAAATGAAAGGATTCCTGGGACAGCATTGCAGCCAGGAGTTTCTTGTGCTGCTGCTGTTGTTCTCTCAAACCTTTACTCTTCTGCTCAAGTCTAGGGCTGCAAGAACATTTTAAAATAGCTTGTTAAATTTGAATAATCGAGCAAAACCCCTGTCACAGATAATCCAAATCACCCGCCTCACAAGAATCACTTTTTAAAATTCTGAATTATTTGAATGAACGTGTGAGAATGATTTAGTGCCCATTCAAATTGAATAGAGACACAGGGCTTCTCTTGAACCTGTGCACATTTCCCATATCTCCAGATGTCTGCCTAGCTAATTCTGACATTGTTTAGCACCAAGCTCCCTGGGGATATGCCAAATCGAGACATCGAGTGTCAGGAAGTGGGAGAACACTGAGCATACCTCACTATCCTTGCATCTGAAGCCTCCCTTCCCTCTCCGCTTGTCAGAGACATCCTCCAATCCTACCCCCAGTCCCCAGGAAACTCCAAAGAAACCCAGCCCCCACACCGCTTCTCTTTCTAGGATCCCATGATTATCTCTGAATGACTCCCTGTGGTACCAGCTGGTAATGGGAAGCTAAATTCCAGGCAATGTCCAAAGCCTGCCAGGTAGATGCCTGTTCAGTTTTTGAGGTGCACTTCTTCATTTTAAACCCTCCTCCACCACTGAAGGGTTGGTGGTTTCTCATTGATTTGCCAACCAATGGGCAATGCCCACAATGGGCATGGTAAAACCAGCTTTTTGGTAGTCTTTAAAATGTCAACATGGAGACAACATTCCAAGTGAAAACATATTAAACAGAATAAAGTTTTGAACAAAATTTGAACTTTTGAGTGATTGCTCGTAACATTGGATTGACGAGGAGGCTAGAAACTCAGGACGGGAGCAGGGACAGGAATCAGTAACCTCAATACCGCTCCAGCCCCTTCCCACCAGCCCCATCGCCTCTGACCCCTGAACCCAGCACTGTAGCCACAGGTTATCGGGCACTGACGTAACCTCCTGCCCATGAATCGAAGTTTGAGAGCATTCTGTTCCAGCATACATTTGCAGAACACATCAACACTGATCAAGACCTCCTCAAGAGAAGCACGCATAGACTTGTTGTGTAAGGTCCTGGCTCGAAAGGGTTACTGGTTGAGTAGTGCTATGCTGTACCCAGTCAGATGATGTCACACAGCCTCCAGGCGAAGAATCACTTGCACAGTTTCCTAACAGAGACACTCATACCCATGTTTACCTGACTGGGATCGGGCTGTCTTCATTTGCATCTTGAATTCTGGGTACTGGAGGTTGCAACATCTCTGCAGCCAATGGATCGGCATCAGTTTCCTCACGACCAACCCACTCTCCAACCACTTTAGGTCTGACAAGTGATGAACTATAAGCCCGTAGATCCTTAAACAAAAGGATTCAAATGTTATACTGTCAATGGCAGAACCCTTTGTAGCATCAGCATACAGAAGGATCTAGGCATACAGTCCAGAGTTCCCTGAACGTGGCAACACAAGTGGATAAGATGGTTAAGAACGCATATGCCATGCTTACCTTTACTGGTCGGGGCATAGTGCGTAAAAATTGGCAAATCATACAGTTACTCTGTCAACTTTAGTTAGGCCAGATTTGGAATATTGCATACAAAGGGTTGTGAACACAGCCCAATCCATCACGCAAACCAGTCTTCCTTCCGTTGACTCCATCTATACTTCCTGCTACCTTGGGAAAGCAACCAACATAAACAAAGACCCCTCACAGCCTGGTTATACTCTCTTCCACCCTCTTCTGTCAGGCAGAAGATGTAAAAGCTTGAATACACATACAAATAGATTCAAGAACAGCTTCTTCCCTGCTATTATCAGACTTTTGAATGGACCTCTCAAACGTTAATGTACATCTCTCTCTGCACGTTCTCTGCGGCTGTGACACTATGTTCTGCACTGCGTTCTGCTACCCTGATGCACTTTGTATGGTACGATCTGCTTGTCTAGCACACAAAACAACACTTTTCACTGTAGATAACAAGGTGTAGAGCTGGATGAACACAGCAGGCCAAGCATCAAAAGAGGAGCAGGAAGGCTGACGTTTCGGGTCTGAACCCTTCTGAAGAAATGGGGGAGGGGAAGGAGGTTCTGAAATAAATAGGGAGAGAGGGGGAGGCAGATGGAAAATGGATAAAGGAGAAGATAGGTGGAGAGGAGACAGACAGGTCAAAGAGGCGGGGGTGGAGCCAGTAAAGGTGAGTGTAGGTGGGGAGTTAGGGAGGGGATAGGTCAGTCCAGGGAGGACAGACAGGTCAAGGGGGCGGGATGAGGCTAGTAGGTAGGAGATGGGGGTGTGGCTTGAGGTGGGAGGAGGGGATAGGTGGGAGGAAGGACAGGTTAGGGAGGCGGGGACAAGCTAGGCTGGTTTTGGGATGAGGTTGGGGGAGGGGAGACTTTGAAGCTTGTGAAGTCCACGTTGATACCATTTGGCTGCAGGGTTCCCAAGCGAAATATGAGGTGCTGTTCCTGCAACCTTCGGGTGGCATCATTGTGCCACTGCAGGAGGCCTAGGATGGACATGTCGTCTAAGGAATGGGAGGGGGAGTTGAAATGGTTCGTGACTGGGAGGTGCAGTTGTTTGTTGCGAACCGAGTGTAGGTGTTCCGCAAAGCGGTCCCCAAGCCTCCGCTTTGTTTCCCGATGTAGAGGAGGCCACAACGGGAACAGCGGATGCAGTATACCACATTAGCAGATGTGCAGGCGAACATCTGCTTGATGTGGAAAGTCTTCTTGGGGCCTGGGATGGGGGTGAGGGAGGAGATGTAGGGGCAGGTGTAGCACTTCCTGTGGTTGCAGGGAAAAGTGCCGGGTGTGGTGGGGCTGGAGGGGAGTGTGGAGTGGACAAGGGAGTCGCGGAGAGAGTGGTCTCTCCGGAAAGCAGATAAGGATGGGGAGGGAAAAATGTCTTTGGTGGTGGGGTCGGATTGCAGATGGCGGAAGTGTCGGAGAATGATGCGTTGGATCCGGAGGTTGGTGGGGTGGTACGTGAGGACGAGGGGGATTCTGTTTTGGTTGTTATTGCGGGGAGGGGGGTGTGAGGGATGAGTTGCGGGAGACACGGTTGAGGGGGTTCTCGACCATTGAGGGGGGGAAGTTGCGGTCCTTGAAAACGAGGACATCTGAGATGTTCGGGAGTGGAATGCCTCATCCTGGGAGCAGATGCAGCGGAGGCAAAGGAATTGGGAATAGGGGATTTTTTCAGGAAGGTGGGTGGGAGGAGGTAGGTAGCTGTGGGAGTCGGTAGGCTTGAAATGGATATCGGTTTCCAGGTGGTTGCCAGAGATGGAAACAGAGAAGTCCAGGAAGGAGAGGGAGGTATCAAAGATGGTCCAGGTGAACTTAAGGTTGGGGTGGAAGGTGTTGGTGAAGTGGATGAACTGTTCGAGCTCCTCGTGGGAGCATGAGCCGGCGCCGATACAGTCATCGATGTAACGGAGGAAGAGGTGGGGTTCAGGGCCTGTGTAGCTACAGAGGAGGGATTGTTCCACGTAACCTACAAAGAGGCAGGCATAGCTTGGGCCCATGCGGGTACCCATGGACACCCCCTTTGTTTCTAGCAAGTGGGAGGAATTGAAAGAGAAGTTGTTAAGGGTGAGGACGAGTTCGCCTAAGCGGATGAGGGTGTCAGTGGAGGGGGACTGGTTGGGCCTGTGGGACAGGAAGAAGCAGAGGGCCTTTAGGCCATCTGCATGGAGAATGCAGGTGTATAGGGACTGGACGTCCATGGTAAAGATGAGGTGTTGGGGACCAGGGAATCGGAAGTTTTGGAGCATGTGGAGGGCGTGGGTGGTGTCATGGACGTAGGTGGGGAGTTGCTGGACCAAGGGGGAGAAAATGGAGTCGAGATAAGTAGAGATAAGTTCGGTGGGGCAGGAGCAGGCGGAGACAATGGGTCGACCAGGGCAGTCAGGTTTGTGGATTTTGGGAAGGAGATAGAAGCGGGCGGTGTGGGGTTGGGGAATGATGAGGTTGGAGGCTGTGGGTGGGAGGTCACCTGAAGTGATGAGGATGTGGATGGTTTGGCAGATGATGTTTTGGTGGTCAGGGGTGGGGTCATTATCAAGGGGACGGTAGGAGGAGGTGTCAGAGAGCTGGCGTCTGGCCTCGGCGATGTAGAGGTCAGTGCGCCATACTACAACTGCGCCTCCCTTGTCCGCGGGTTTTGTATCTGGGTACACGTGACAACAATCAATCAATCAGTAGTTCTGGTCATTGCACTATCAGAAGGGGGTGGAGGCGTTGGAGAGGGTTTTGAAATGGTTTACCAGCATGTTGCCTGTTTTAGAGGGTACTAGCTCCGAGGAGAGATTGCACAAACTTGATTTGTTTGCGTTTGAACATCAGAGACTGAGGGGAAACCTGACAGAAATTTACAAAATTATGAGAGGCATGGATAGAATGTGTCATCAGAGTCTATTTAGGAGACATAGGTTTAAGGTAAAAGGGAGAGGCATGTTTTTCCCGCAGAGGGTAGTCCGTGCCTGGAATGCACTACCAGAGGAGCTGGTAAAAACAGATACAATAGTAATGTGTAAGAGGCAAGGGCCCAGTGGTGTTTTTGCTGAACTGTTAATCCAGAGACCAAGGTAATGTTCTGGGGACCTGGGTTTGAATCCCACCACAGCAGATGGTAGCAGGAAGAAGTGCTCTTGAGCTTCACAGTGAAAGTGCCAATTTCTAATTGTAAAGTTCTTTCTCTTGTTCTGGTGCACCACCAGAGGAAAGGTTTTGCTTTACCTATTCAATCCAATCAATTTATTCATCGCAGCAGATCACCCTGTAATCTTTAAGATTCAAGGGACTACGTGACTTGCTTGTGTAGTTCCTCATCCAAATTTAACCTGGTATTCTTATAAATGTACGTGATATAACCATGATATAGGAGCAGAATTAGACCATTTGGCCCATTTAGTCTGCTGTATCATTCAATCGGGGATGATATGTTTTCACCCCCATTCTCCTGCCTTCTCCACGTAACCTTTGATCCCCTTACTAATCAAGAACTTATCTATCTCTGTCTTAAACTCAATGACCTGGCCTCCACAGCCCTCTGTGGCAATGAGTTCCATAGATTCACCACCCTCTGGCTGAAGAAATTCCTCCTCATCTCAGTTCTAAATAGTTGTCCCTTCACTTTGATGCTGTGTCTTCAGGTCCTCGTCTTTCCTACTATTGGAAACATCTTCTCTATAACCACTCTATCCAGGCCATTCTGTATTCTGTAAGTTTCAATGAGACATCCCCCCTCATTCTTCTAAACTCCATCAAGTACAGACCCAGAGTCCTCAAGCCCTCCTCATATGGCATGACCTTCACCCATGGAAGCATTCTTGTAAACCTCTTCTGGACCCTCTCCAACGCCAGTACATCCTTCTTCAAATACCAGGCCCAAAACCGCTCACAATATTCCAAACACAATCTGACAAGAGCTTTATACAGTCTCAGCAGTACATCCCTGCTCTTGTATTCTAGTCTTCTTGAAATGATTATTAATATTGCATTTGCCTTCCTAACTGCCAACTAAGCCTTCTTGTTAACCTTAGGAGAATCCTGAACTAGGACTCCAAAGTCCCTTTGTGCTTCAGAATTCTGAAGCCTTTCCCCATCGAGAAAATAGTCTATGCCTCTATTCTTCCTACCAAAATGCATAGCATCACACTTCCCTGCATTGTATTCCATCTGCCACTTCTTTGCCCACTCTCCTAGCCTGTCAAGGTACTTCTGCAATTTCCCCACCTCCTCAATATTACCTGTCCCTCCACCTATATTTGTGTCACCTGCAAAAGTAGCAACAATGCCCTTAGTTCCTTTGTCCAGGTCCAGTGGAAGTCGACTAATCACCGGCTGCTATCCTGAGAAAAGTGCCCTTTACCCCCACTTTCTGCCTTCTGCTAGTTGGACAATCCCCTGTCCATGCCAGTACATTGTCCCTGACACCATGGGGCTCTTATCTTATTTAGTGACCTCCTGTGCAGCACCTTGTCAGCATTACATCCCCTCTAAGGCCAAAATTTTGCTTCATGATTGTACATAGGACTGAATAGAATAGTCCAAATGAGGTCTTTGCAGAACTTCACGTTATTTTTTATTATTAATTCAGGAATGTGCAAGTCTCCAGCTGGGACAACATTTACTGCCTGTTTCTAATTAGACCGACGGCAGTTAAGAATCAATCACATTCCTCAGGGTTTGGAGTCACACATAGGCCAGACTCGGTAAAGATGGCAGATTCCAATCCCTAAAGGACATGAGTGAACTAGGTTGGCTTTTATGACTATCAAAACCATTACAGTATCATAGAATCCCTACAGTGTGGAAACAGGCCATTCAGCCCATCAAGTCCACACTGACCCTCCG